TCGAAAAAAGTTTGCGACAAATTTTCGAATTTCGTAATTTTTCAAGTGCTATCTGATCAGAAATTACAGCCAGATTTTAAAAATGAAAACCCGAAGAAAATCGATGCAAAAATGCGCCTTCTAGAGCCAATTTATGAGTTTTTGCATATGTTGCACTGTGGCACTTACGGTTTTGCAAAAATGTTCCAATTCATATTCATTAACAACGTTGCTACTGCAGAAGGTTTACACATGTAGAAATGTTGATGTAGCTATTGAAGCCTAGGCTGTGTGCCCTGTGGAACTAGAGCCACTCGTGGTACAGAGTGGGACTTTGCAAATGTAGCAATTTGCTAAACACCCCGAAAAAATCAACCATCGACGATAATTAGGTCAAGCGCAAGAACAGTTTAAAGTTGATAATTTTTTAGAAGATTCTAATACCGGAAGTAGACGTCAGACGTCACAAATGAAAGTATCAGCAGATAGCCAAGGTCAATGACCTTTGATCTTGTAAAGGAGAAGGTCTAAAAAGGTCAAGATCAAGAGATATACGTCATCAAACTTTCTAATTGCGCACGACTATAAAACCGGAATTTGACATAGGACAGCAAATATAAAAGTATTAATAGATAGCCAATGCCAATGACGTTTGATCCTACAAAGGTCAAGGTTAACAAAGGTCAAGGTCAAAAATTGAATATTTTGAATTTCCAAAAGCTGTTCTTTTTTTTTTGAACTATGAAGCGGAAACAACCGAACTTCTAAGACAAAGTGGCTCAAAACATGAGATAATTGTATGCAAAGTTCCATTTTGAACAAGCGTATACTTTGCGAGTTATGCTCCTGGCCAAAAATGTCAATAATGAGTAATATAACCCAGATGTGCCACGCCCACCTTAATTTTTTTTGCATAGGGTAATAGATATTCCAAATGTTATGTTGTGTTTTAAATTTAAAGCTTCTACATTATTCAGGTCAAAAGATATAGGTCAACAGATGTCAATGAAGGTCTAAATCGAAAAATGAAAATATCCAAATGTAAAAAACCCGTTCCTTTTTTGGAACTATAAAGCTGAAACAACTGAGCTGTTAACACAAACTGGCCAAAAGGATGAGGTAATTGTGTGCAAAGGCCCTTTTTGAACAAACGCACCCTATGCGAGTTATGCCCCTGCCTCTAAATGTAAACATTTAGTACTTCAACCCGGATGTGCCACGCCCACATAAGTTTTTTTGTCATAGGTGAATTCATATTCAAAGTGTCTAGTTATATTCCAAATATCGAACGGACTGGTACGAATGGTGATCAGCTTCTCTTTAAGTGTGGTTTGGTAATGGTCGATCAGGACCTGCGTAACCTTAGATGTCCGATTGAGGGATCGCGTAAACAGCTGATGTTTTCATTGCTGGACGGATAAAACTATCCTACTCAGAGACTTTGCGTTTGAAGGTAAACGCTGGTTGGCCTTGCTGTTGAAGGGTAAGGATTGCCAAATGATGGAGGCACTGCAAAATTTGGAAGAACACCTTCACAAAGGGTTCTTCCTCCTTATGAGTGGGGACTGGTTGGCGTCGGTGGGCTGGTAGTCGTTTCTGTTGTTGGTCAGGTCGATGGTTACCTCTTGATTGGTAGGTGTTGTAGGTAGGTCGGCGATGGGGTGGGATATAGCTGGATGGGTTGGTTGGTGGTCGGCGATTGGTAGGTGGTAGAGGTCGATGGAAGACAGGGCCGTTGTAGGGTACGTGATATTGGTTTGGTTGACGATTATTATTTCTATGTCTGGCTTCTTGCCAGTGGTTGTTGTAGTTGGGGAGCATAATGAAAATAACTTGAGGTTAGAAAGGGAATGTACAGCGGATGTAACAGGAGGAAACTGTATATGCTAGCGTGAAAATGTGGGGATCAAATTATGCAAATAAGTCAAACTGGGTTTGGGTATATATAAAGTAAGATGAAAGTTATGATGAAAAATGCAAAAATATATATTTAGGTGAAAAATAACGCTAACAATGATGTGAAAAATTATAACAAGTACAACAAAAACTTACGCAATTGACACGAACCGGTTTTCGAAATATTATCCTTTTTCATGTGTCGAGGAATGCTTATGTAATGAGGTTGAATTTGCGATTTATATAGTAGTCAGTTAATACAGGTTTTTGATTTTCTAAAAATTATTGAGTGAATCATGTCATATCTTTGATCAGTTGAGAAATAGGATTATTTTTGATTTCTTAATTAGTTGAGTCATATCTTTGATCAATTGAGGATTATAGAAATATTGGATTAGATTTTGATTATATCTGAGTAATAATTCAGGAGGATTAGATTATCTCAGAGTACAATTTATATAAATGAAAAACATAAATAAACAGAAATCAAGAATACAAAAATATAAAATAAATAAACATGAGGAATATTTGATAAAATAAGCGGGATTAGTGAATTGTAAATTGATTAGAACTAACTTTGAATTTTGATTATACCCGAGTAGTAATTTAAATGGATGGATTATCTCGGAGTATAATTTAAATGAAAGAAAAACATAAATAATGGCAATTAAATTTACTTGGTAAGATTAAAAGATTAATGCAAATTTTGTTGAAGAAAGTTTGTTATATGCACGAGAAACAAATGTCAAAATCCTAACATATACAATATATACAAAAAAAATAAAATATATAAATATAAGATGAAATAAAATATACCAAAGTCAAAATAAATTGTCTGATCTGGCCTGGCACGGACAGTATTA